AGAGCTTCAGGGCATCGGAATCGTTCGTTACCTACCGTAATCACTTGGCCATCAGGCAATTCATAAGATTTTTCAAGGGATGAGGACGATGCAGCAGTTGCCATTTCCTGCTCGAAGTCTAAGGCAACGTAACACAATTTCTCTTTGATATCACGTACAATTTCACGCTCAGCCGTGGTCGTGAATGAGTAACCACGCTCAGTGAGGATCTTCATTAAGTAATCTGTCAAGTCCCGCCCAGCCAAGTCCAGACGCAAAATTGCGTGTGGCAGTGCATAACCTGAAATAACGAAAGCCTAATTAATTTCTCTTTAAATTTGATAGAATTTCATTTTCGAAATTTGCTGATTCATCATTCTGATTAAAATCAATTCACACTGTTAATTAATAGATACACTCTAATTCTCATTTTCAACCTAACTTTTAATTAGTCATTATTAATTTAATGATACCTTCATAAATTGGTACGGTGTGAGTGACACCATCTCCGGAATCGAGTACAATACCGGTAGTGCGACCGGAAGCATACAGAGACAGGACAGCTTGGATGGCAACGTACATAGCCGGAGTATTGAATGTCTCGAACATGATTTGTGTCATCTTTTCTCTGTTAGCCTTCGGATTCAACGGAGCTTCAGTAAGAAGTACCGGATGTTCCTCAGGTGCAACTCGAAGTTCGTTGTAGAATGTATGATGCCAGATTTTCTCCATGTCATCCCAGTTGGTGACAATACCGTGCTCAATGGGATATTTCAGGGTGAGAATACCTCTCTTCGATTGAGCTTCATCTCCTACGTATGAATCCTTTTGACCCATACCGACCATGACACCCTGCAAAACTTTTCATCAATCACAATCCTCTAAATTATTTTTTAAAATCAGTTCCAACTTTCCGGCTATAAATATTTATCCTGAACCAAACAATACTTTTTCATTTAACTTAAACTGTTTGTATCAGAGTTCAGAAGCTTACCTGATGTCTCGGTCGTCCAACTATTGATGGAAATACAGCACGAGGTGCATCATCACCAGCAAATCCGGCTTTGCACATACCGGATCCATTATCAACCACCAATGCAGCTACTTCTTCGTCGCACATTATTTATGACTTTTGTAACTGATACTATTGAACGGATTAACCTATAAAATTTCCTGTTGAAAAGATTCAACAAACTCGAAGTATGTTTTTTAAAATTAACGTCGCATAACATTTACCCTTAATCTAATATAACTCAAATATCAATGTATTACCAAATCAAATTTGACCAAAATTTAAATATTCACTACCTAAACTTATTAGTTTCAAATTAATCCATTAGTTTGGAAATTTCCTAAACTATAAAAAGAAGAAAAGAACTTTGTCATTTCCAAACAATATGAAATTTCTGTCTTACCATTTATTACCATGTAATTTAAGCAAAAAAAAACTCCATAAAAGATCCTTTCTAAAATCATTTTATTTAAAAAATAATTTTAATTTAATTCTATCAACTTCTAAATAGCACATCCACAAATAGCTGCAAGAGAGATAATCACTGAGCATCCTTCAAGCACTGAAAGATTGAAGTGGAAATGAAGCAAAGCAATCAGTATGAACGATATATATATACATAATATGCTGTGAAACAGCATCCTCAGGCTTATATAGTGTGGTCAGGGTTAGGCTTATCATTCAAAAGTTATTGTTAGGCGAAAAACTTTTTCAATTTCAAACCATTGCTTGAGGGGGAGGGATGAAAAGTCTGTTGTTTAACTCCTTTTCCTGAGAATTCGAAAGTTGGTATTGCTGAGTGAAGTGTGGAATTCTTGGGAAAATCTTAAAACATCCCCGCCCTTCAAACAACTGTATCATATCCAATTCATTCATTTCACCTAATGTTCACTATGATTTGAAGACATACAGATAGATGGATAGATGGATAGATGGATAGATGGATAGA